ATTATTTATTGGCATCATTCTTTCTAATTGTATTAACTGTGTACCGGTACGACATCTGCCATACTGTAAGTTGAAGATTGTAATTTTATTTTATTTTATTTTGTAATTATCTTAAGACATAATAAATCTTAATTAATTGTAACTAGAAACTGTTTTGGGTCGTATCTTTAATATTGTTGATTATATGGTATCGTCCTTTGTTAGGCACTGTTTACAACGAGCCAATTAAAATTAAAATAGGAGATTACTTTCTCCCAATACAAGTCAGTGCGTAACAATATACATGTATGTATTATATTCGGTTTGCACTGATTGCCATGCCAGGGAAACATTTCTTCTATAAATACTTGGCTATTATAGCGTACACGGCATTTGACAGGAGCAATACAAATATTAAGATAAACCGTGTGAATGAAAAATAAAAAATGTGATCATTTGTTCTCAACGACATTTTTAATGCCTTTAAAAAATGTTAGAACTCGATTGAACTTATGTTTCTTTCTTTTTTTTTTTTATTTTCATCTACAAATGCCTGTGTAGGTAGAGTGACTCTGACAAGTAACCCACCGATTTTCTAAAAAGGAAGATTCTGAAAGCATGATTAAAATTGCGAAGGTGCTGTCGTATAATTCTTTCATCCGAGTACTTTTAATCTAAAGTATTAAATCTAGGTGTTGGTTACCACCTTCTTCAACGCCCCCATCCACTTTAACATGAGTCAGCAACGAAATGCAGCCCAAAGTCGCTGATATATACAATTATATAGGTCACCGTGTATTTAGGTCTTCTATAAGTGCCAGGAAGCCTATAATACTTAGATGTGTTTATTTTTTTTAAATCGGGAAATTTCAGAAAATGATTCTTTGTTGAGACTTCTGACATTTCTTTTCGATAGGTTTTTATTTAAAGAAAAGGAGGCACACGTTTACATTTAATTAGCGATTATATATCGAAACAGAGCGAAAATTTGTGTAACAATTATTATCAGTTTATATAAACAAACTTTACTTTTAAAGTTAGAAAATTTTCTATTTATACTCATAGACCTGCTCCCTACAGGACAGGAATACCTCCCTGGGCAAACATCATTGCACAATACTTGTAGGCCGCTTGTTAAAAGAATTACACCAGAAGTTACTTGATGCCTTCAAGCATGCAAGTAACACGTATTTGAATAGTTTTCAAGTTATAAGTAATCAATTTTGTGACCTTTTGGTTGTCTTGAAACGAATTCTGGATATCATTTCTTTACACGTGTCTCCACTTGAAGTGAAACCTATCCAAGCCGTAAACTGTAAAATGTAGCCGGTCCACAGTTTTAGGAAGTCAGTTTATGATCAATCAAAGCAAAAAGAACAGTTGGCCTAAATGCACCACTACACATTGTCTATATGTTAAATAATATGACTTGGCATATTCATACTTACATTTTGTTTGGCAGAAACAGTCGGGAAATACGATGAATGGCCGTTAGTGGCAACTGTTGGCAATCTTTCGATATCTGACTCAGCAGTGACCTGAAAAGTTTTCTCTTTTGGTGTGTAGCTTCAGCCAGTTGGTCTAAATCTGTTATAAAATGTTTTTTTTCCTTCTAATTTTCAGTAGTAATTGTACATTTAATAAAATAAATTGGTATAATTCTTAAACAAAAATGAAGATAATAAATATTGATTTACATTCTACTTAGACTTAAATGCTTTTCGATAATTTTGTAGTTGCTTTTTCCATATTGTTACATAGATTTTTAGAAGGTTTTTCCAAATTGAAATGTAATATTGACATTGATAAAAACAATTTTAATATCCCAAACTAGATCTAGTTTTGTGAACATCTAATTTACTTTTAATGGCAATCAGAATCAGAATGAAATGAGTGAACGATTACTAATTTAGATTTACATATTATAATAATGCGATCCCTTTCAAATAATCCATATTATCATTTACAATTTATTTTTGAATTGCGAATCGGCTAATTTTTCTAAAATATTATTAAAATCTAAATTTCATTTCAAAGTTCATTGTAATCTTTTAGACTAAATCTTCTATATATTTATTTCAATTATTTCTTTTAGTCTGTCTATAGTGTGAGAACCGTTACTACTGCACATTGCGGATAATAGGATATTCCCGCTCATACTAGCCAAGACACGATGCAGTGATATAATAATATATATTTCTTTTTAAAGTTTCAAATTGTTTTAATGATAGTTTTAAATTAATATCAAATGACCGAAATCACGAACTAATTTTCTACTGGGCCAAACTTTTTCACAATTGTAGTTCCTCTTGTGTATAGACAAGAAAAAAAAGACTTTTAGTTTCAGTTTCAAATGTAATTTTACCTAATAACACTGATGAGGAAAAGAAAAGTTTGTATTACACTAATTATTAATCAGAAATTATCATTAAAAATAGTTCAGATTCCATTTCAACTAGAAATATTTGACCCTCCATTTAAGTTCTGAAATCCTACATTTTTTAAGGCTAATTCTTCTAATTTTTTAAAGATATGTCCTTTGCTCGGAGTCAGACTCGCCACCCACGTACTTAGGTCCCCTTTCTCTACATATTGACGGGGAAAACCCACTAGACAGGGCATACGTGTTAAAAATGCGATAGTTTTTTCATCTTAAGTGCACTCACACTTGAAACACTAACAGCTTAAGCAAGCGGATTTCATCTACGTTTGAGAAATGAATTTTATATATCAAACAAAGAAGTATTTTGCATGTCATTTTTTAAGCCAGCCATGCCATAGATTATATAGTTTCTGTAGCTACATAGATTGAGCATTCCTCTTCGTGTATTTTACTTTGAAGTCATTTTTAAATCCTTTACATTAAATTCGCTTCTTGTTTTAGGTGGCTGGTTGGCTAGATGGGTGGCTAGTAAAATATTTGGAAGGCTAATTGACCCACTTCAAGGTGCTTACAGGATAAATAGACGATACTTTGTAGGATAAATACCCCATTATTTACATACACTGAATTTAATAAAATAAAAATTAAAAGTGGAATACAGTTGCTTACAAAAATGTGTTTTGTTTTAAATGCAAACAATTTTCAAACTCCAATTAATGGGAATCATGGGATGGTGGCCTTTGTGTTTATTTAATCTTTTGAAATTTTTAGACCTAGTGATGATTCTTCAATTCTTCCACTTGCTTGAACAATACGAAAAATGTCAAGAAAAGTCAGAGCTTATGGGTGCCAGAAAACACGATGGCTTTCCTTTTCTCTGATGTTAAAGATCACCGTAATCTGTATTGCCTCTTTAAAGAGGACCTCAACACCCAGCAATTGTGAATAATAGGAGCACACAGGAGCCTATATTTTTGGCTCCCGCCGACATGGTAAAAGTCAGTTTAATGAAAGGCGATGAAATTGGCCGCATTCTTTTCACAAAACTTTACCTCTGACAACTCCATGAGCAGTTACATCCAGAACAATGATAAATGTTCACTGTGCCTCGTTGTAACACGATTCAATATAAACAATCGTTCTTCCCACGAACAATAATTGCTTGGAACGAACTTTACAATGCCGCTGTGGGCTCGACATCAATCGAGTGTTTCAAGGCTGCCTTGGCCCCCATGGCACATAGGCCAGTAGTTGGTTGCAGCAATGCAGTCTATCAGAATCAGAAAGTACCAAATATTTTTTATACACTTTAACATGAACAGCCCAGCACCAGCTCGAGGCGTATACAAGTGTTGGCAATCCTCCGAAGTCCGGTCCCAAATTATTTTCAGTGATTACTCCTTACTTATAAGTCTTGGGCATCATTCTGTTTT